TTGAGGAGAAGAGTGAAGGCTGTTGCTCTTGGTAGTGGTTGGGTGGCTGCAGTGACAAGTCTTAATTTTCTCCGTATATTCACAGAGGGTGGTTTGCAGGTATTTTACATAATTTTACATCTTTTTTGTCAGTTTCTATTGTGGGCTCTTCAGTTCTTTTCTTAGTCATGCATATTTCGATACACTTTGACATCCTTTTTATATAACTCTGGTAATTTCTCTCACAAAGTTGAATTATTTTCATAAAGCTGAAAACCTTGTTCTTCAGCTGTTAGATTAAGGGATCAGGACCTTTTCAATTTGTGAGGCCACTTAGGCAATATCATCCATGACATGCTTTGGGTCTTGAGAAGTGATGGAACAATAAGATTGTTGTGTACAACAAATAGCATGCGGAGAAAAAGCATAAGATGTCTGATTTGTCATTTAGTTCTTTCTTATGCATCAAAAAGTAAATGGACAGTGAAAGAGAGAGGTGCACAAAATTCCTGAATCGTTTAGTTTTATGAATTTACTTATTTGCAGAAACATGTTCTTTCACTTGATGGGCCAGTGGTGACTGCTTCAGGCTTCAAAGATGAGCTTGCTGTTGTTACTCATGTTTCTGATTGCCTTCCATCAAATGAGCAGGTATAATTGCTGCTGATCCAGATGATGTTTTCTTTATTTATCAGAAAGGCTAAATTAGCTTGCCGGATACCAACTTATTGTGTACATTGATTTTGTCAAATTCTTAACAATCCACAAGCATGTGTTACCAATACAACTTCCAGAATGAAAATGTTAGTTTCTTTCTACAAGGTTTTTATCCTGGAAGCAAAGCAAGCTTTAATGATTTCAGTTCTTTACCTTGTGTTGTTTTGTTTGTAACATTCAGATGCTTGAGTCAAGAGTATTCAACGTCTCTAATGGGACCCAGAGCTTGAGAAGTCGTCTTCCTTTAACTCCTGGTTCATATCTAACATGGTTTGGGTTTAGTGAAGAAGGTCAATTAAGTTCTTATGATTCTAAGGTAAGCTTTGCTCTTGTTCGCTTATCATTTTAATAATATACTGCTTGATACTGGATCTTAGCTCACGAGTAAAATTTGTAGGACGTGTTGAGAGTTTTTACAAGTCAATATGGTGGCAGTTGGCTCCCACTTTTCAGGTTAAAAGATTATTCTATTTTAAACTATGGAACTGAGTATTTCAACTGGTATTTTCTATCATCACTGCCTAGTTCTGCACCTTGTGTATAATGAGGGTAAATTTTTTGTTACAGTGCCAGTAGAGGGAAGCAATCAGGAGAAAGCTATTGGGTTGTTGGCTTGAATTCCAGCAAATTGTTTTGTGTTGTTTGTAAAGACCCTGACTTGTACCCACAGGTAGTATGGCCAACTATCTCTGCTCTACTCTTATGTGCTTCATCTTTTCTAATGCGCTTGTATGCTTGGCTCTCTCCTTTCAGGTGATGCCAAAACCAATTCTCACGCTGCTAAACCTTTCTTTTCCTCTTGCATCTTCTGACCTTGGAGCAGACACACTTGAAAACGAGTTTATGTTGAAGAACATGCATCTATCAGAGGTTTGCCCCCATTTCCTTTTATGGCTTTTCAAGCAATGAGGCTTCTCAGTTAAGGCCTTCATTGCTTTTGATAGAGCTCTCTATGATTGAGGTAATACCTATTAGTTCCCTTAACCTTCCAGATTCAGAAAAGAATGGATGAACTGGCTGCTATTGGTTTAGACACCACTAAACTTGATGATGAAGCTTTTAATTTGGAAGTGGCTCTAGATCAATGCATATTGAAGCTTATTGGGTCATGCTGCAATGGTGAAATCCTTATTTCATGCTAATTTCATAATTATTTTTATTCTGTGATTGTTTTTGATACTAGGTTTGTAATCTAAACCTTTTTTTCAGGTGACAAACTTGTAAGGGCTACTGAGCTTGTGAAGCTTTTATCACTGGAAAAATCAGTGAGGGCTGCAATCAAGCTGGTCACAAAGCTGAAGCTTCCTAATTTGGCTGAAAGATTTAGCAGCATACTGGAGGTAACAAAAGTTTTGCAATTCTTCAGTAGATATTTTTAGGGAATAATTCATGTAAAATAATTGATTATAACTAGTTATTTCAAAAGAATCTAAAATATTATTCGTATCTTACCGGTTTACAGTTTCACTACGGGATATTGCTTACACATTTCTATCTATGAACAGGAAAGGTTGCTAAAAGAAAGCATGGAGACCTTAAATCCTCTTCCAAGCTCTAAATGTGATGTGGCCACGACCACTAGAGACGAAATTGCAGGCAGCAAGGTTGTAACCTCAACTGAAAGAAGCCAAATATCAGAACCTCTGATTACATCGCCTTCTCCATTACTATTAGCTGCTCCAATCTTTAAAAAGAAAACGAAACCTTCAGAGGGAATCAAGCTTGGGAAGGAAGAAAAAGCGCCGGAAAACCAGGATGAAAATGTGAAGAATGGAAAGATAAAGAAAGCAGAAGCGAAGGACGCTGAGGAGACGAAGAAGGTGCAGCCTCAGCGACCATCTAATCCATTTATTAAGTCATCAATCAATATGGAGAAAGTAAAGATTGGTGAAGAGAATCAAGATTTTCAGCTTCAGCGTCCATCTAATCCATTTCTCAAGTCAACTATGAAGTGATTTACTCTCCAGTTTTAGAAGAACCAAAGAATTAAAACTACACAGGGATTTGTTAAGAAAGGTTTTTAACATAATCTGCACAGATCCATTTCAGGGAGTTATTTTCCATGGAAGATAAAATTGCTGTAAATTATATAGGCCCTCAAAGGAAGAAGCTCTTTCTACTTTTGTAAGTGCATATGTATATATATGTATGTATGTATGTCAGGCTAATTACTTGATTAATTTTCAATTTATCTTTTTAATATTTTAAAATATTTTTGAAATTGGATAGGATCAGTTTTGAATATTTGGATTTTTTAAAATTATTTTTCTCTACAGAAATTTGTCGAAGAGATAAATTATATTTTTTATTTATTTGTTAAGAAATTGTATTATGATTAATATATATATTATATTATTAATAAAATATATAATTTTTTATTAAAAAAACTAAATAGTACAAATTTAATTTATTGGACAAACAAAATTTAAAAGAAAATTAGATGTTATATTAATATATTGCAAAATTAATTTAATATTTTAAGAAATATATAATAAAATTTGCCTAAAATGTCAATAAAATAAAAATGAAGGGCGTTTCTGTAATTCCAGAAGACCCAGTGCACGCTGATATCTCCAGTTTATCACCTTATTTATCACACAACGCAAGTTTTTCAACTTTTATTTTCAAGTAAAAATAAAATGGCGCAGGTCTCTTGCCGTCATCTCCGGGATCCAGACGACGATATTCCGCGCCATAGCCGCCGTAATCAAAACCAAACCCTAACCCTAAGTTTGGACTCCATCCCTTACTGGTCCCACCCCAACGACTTCGATCTTTACTCCTCCGACCCCGAGTTCCCTCCCACCGACGCGTCCGTCTCCGATTCGCTCCTTCCAGTCAACTGCCCCGATTTGCTCGACCGACACAACCAGGTTAACTTCGTCATGGATCTCTTTCACCAACGCGTTGAGCAATCTCAGGTAATCTCTCATAACAACAATAACGATAATACTGAGTTGGGATCCGACTCGTTAACCGAGTCGGGTTTCGGAGTCATAGAGGGGAATTGTGAAATCGGCATGGATAATTTGGAGATTGATTTGGGGATAGGGATAGGATTCGGTGCGCCGGATAGTACTAATTGTGGATTTTCAGTAGGAAACATCGAGGATAGTGATATTGATGTCAGCGTTGATGTTTATGGTAATGAAGATGATGATAATGATGATGATTTCTTTGTGGAGAGGAGGGTTTCTGGTTTGGAATCCGGTGGGTCGGCGGGGACAGGGGAGCCGTTTGGGAACGGTTTAGAGGTTATTGGGTTTGAATCAGATTCGGACGATAGAGATGAAAACGATAACGAGAGAGAGAGACTGACGATAGATTTGCACTCAGTGAATGAGGATGACGATGATGCAAGTTATAACAACCCTATTTTTTGGGATTCTTTTCAATTAGAGGATCATAGGGAAACTAATGAAGATTTGGAGTGGGAGGAAGTCGATGGTGGGCTTGAAGAGAGGGAGGTTATGAGCATGTATGTGGATGCTGATAATGATGATGAGAACTCCATCTCCCTTTCCATTTCACCTATTACTGTACCTGAGGATGTGGTTACTGTTGAAAGAGTAGGGGAGGTAGAGAATTTGGAGTGGCAAGTTTTGTTGAATTCTGATAATCTGGAAACAAACCCAGATTTGGATAGCTTTACCGAGCACTATTTTGGTGACCATGAAGATTATATTTATACTGCAGAATATGAAATGATGTTTGGACAGTTCACAGAGAATGAGAATGCATTGACCGGCAGGCCTCCGGCTTCGAAAATCGTTCTCAAACAACTTCCTTTGGTGGTCTTGACTCAAGAATATATCGAGAAGAATGATGCTTTTTGTGCAATTTGTAAGGATGAGATGAATGTTGGTGAGAAGGCTAAGCAGTTACCTTGTACCCATAGATACCATGGAGATTGCATTGTGCCTTGGCTGCGAATACGAAATACTTGTCCTGTTTGTCGTCATGAATTGCCCACAGACGATGCCGAGTATGAAAGGAGGAGGAACCAAAGAGGTGCTCGTGGGCGGTAAATTGTTATGATAATTTATGGTCACTTCTAAGTTTTGAAGTATTCAACATGCATTAGGTTTGTTCGAATGGTAGGTACCTTGTTTGGAAGTGAGCGTACAAGGATAATTGTCTTCTTCATAATTTTGCCTGTGTTTGGAGTCGAAAAGTTTGGTAACGATCACGTTGTATTTTGGATTTTTTTTCGGTTCAAATAATTTCCAGTGACTTGTATGTTTATTAGGTATGTTTGATTTGGATGCATGTAGGTTAGTGATTTACTCTCGTTCATTGTTTCTGGTTTGATATAGTTCTCACCACATGGAATGCAAATCTTTTTTCCCTGTTTTCTTTATGGATAGGAATACGATTCTTCTATGGTCAGAATTTGTTGGTGTGATTTTATCTATGTGCTACATGAGTCCTATTATTTGTTTGGAAATAACAGGGGCAGTTTCATGATCGGTTGCTTTTCATTTTTATTTTGATGGTTGGTGGGGATTGTGGAGATAATTTGGTTGAGATGTTTCTAATATTATTCCTATGCTGTTGCCTAACTTTCTATCATATCTAAAATGTAAATTGAAGAATTGATTCAGAAAAACCTGCTGGTGGCTAAGAACGGTTTACAATATACTATAGCATAACCTATGATTTTCATGTTCTCGAGCTGGCTCAGGTTAGTTTTGCTTACCAAACTCTGGATAGGCTAAGGTATTTGCCTTCTTACCCTACCTTACCCAGGGAAACAAATGTGATCTTAGGAATTTAGGATAGCGCCAAACATTTTTCTTTCTTCCCGGCTTTGGAAAGTAAGTTTCAACAAGTTTACCCTTTCTTATAAATTGAAGACTGGTGTATCGATTTCTAAAAAAATCTTCACTATTATTTGGTCTGCATCTCCATGTTAAGCTTATTTCAGTCTCACTCTAATATGAACAACAATACTATGGCTGATATGTTTGTGTCCTATAAAGTGATTGGAGACAAAATGCTCTCCCCTTATCTCCCTCTCTCTCTCTCTCTATCTTGAATGTTAATGGATATGAATTTTACCTTTTGGATGATCTCAATTTCTGGGTGAATATATCGTCTACTTTCTAGGATGCTGCAGCAATCCCAGCCTTTTTTTTTTTTTTCTTTTATTTGGTGGGTTTTCTTTATTAATGGGGAATGAAGTTGGCTTTAACAGTTTATCTACCTTTATGCATTTGATTGGCATAAAGTGGAACTCGCCTGTATCCACCACTTTTTCCAGCCATGGACATATTCTCAATGAAACCTTAAAAGGTGACCATGATCTTTTGAGTTCTCTCGATGTTGTGAAAAGCTTCATACTAAGTTTTGGACTCGTCAACTTGGTTAAACTTATGGATTCTTCATGTTCATGACGCTTTTGTAACCTTCTTTTTCATCATTTAGTAATAATGATTCTGAGTAATTTTGTGTACGGTAGTTATAAAATTGTTAGAAGATTTATCTAGTATATAGTGTCTCAAATTACTTGCAGATTATTAATACAGTTAAATTATTTATTTTTCTTGGAACATCCTATTTTTTTTTTATAGCAAAAATAAGAAAATATTTTTAATCATTATAAATTTGGGAAAAGATTTTTGGTGGTCCATGATGGATCTTTCACTTTTAAATTATAGAAATTTAATGATAGAATGGGAAAAAAAAAATGAAATTAGGATGATTTTGAGGTTTGATGTTTTGTGTATAAATGAACTTCCCCCTCGTCACTAGTCACCCATATAAATATATATATATATATAAATTTCTAGTTGGTTTAATAAAATTTGTATTAACTGATAATTATATTTTAATTTTTCAATGGAGGTGAAGTAGGACACGAAATGTTCTTGTTTCCTTTATACTTAATGATGCCACCACGTGCAAATTTGTTGAATTAGCACGTGTCTGTGTCTGTGTCTGTGTCTATGTCTATGTTTGTAACAAATTAACTTTTTAGAAAATATAATTTAATTATCTTTAGTAAACAAAGGAAGAATGATTTTGAATTAAAAATTTCTTATTTGGGTATTTTATAAAAATATTAAAAAATTTATTTAACGTAATAAAAAGATTTTATTTTATTTAAAAAAAATTGAAAGCGAACACATATTTGCATGTATGTAAAAACAAATCATGAGAGGCAAGAGGATTTAGGATTGTCTTGAAATGATGGGAAGCTTAATTAAAAAGGAGTTTTTGGGTGTATTGTTGTTATGGATATAAAACAATTCCAAAAATGGAAATTTTGAGGATACAAAACACCCAAATTGTAACATACTATATATGGAAAGCTAGCTACTACTTAATTTATTATATGTATATGTATATGTATATGTATAGCCATGTCCAAAATGTATATAGTATAATTCCCTCCAAACAGGGTCTTAGTAAAACGCTCCTACTTTTCTTTTTGGGTTTGAAATTTAGTAGCCTTGTAGGCATAGTTTCCTTAAAAAGGAAATGTGAAATGACTCAAAACCAATTGCTTTGCTTCAATTCTAGAATTTTGGGGCCCTCTTAACTTCTTTTATTTTACATTTTCAGAAATTTAATTATCTAAAAAATTAATTTAAATAAATAAAAAAAATTTAACAAAGGTATTGTAATTATTTAAATATTTATAGGTATAAAAAATATAATAAATTTAATTATTAAAATAAGAAAAAGTCTTAGCTTTTATCATAGTTATTTAAAAATAATTACACATTAATCAAAAGTTAAACGTCATCAATTACGTTAATTAAATTATTCCTCTTAAAAAAGTATCATCTTAGTTGTTCGATAACTATTACAAATTTAATAATTTAATTTAAATGTAGTATTAAAAAGGAAAAAATAAAAATTGAATTTTAGGTTTATATTAAGTTTCAACAACAATCATTTCAAAAAAAAATTTAATCAATTAACATTTTATTTCGCATATTAATTTATACATATATATGTTATATATCGAATTTTATCAATCTATTTATAAATATAAATAAAATAATTTATGATCTAAAAAAAATTGGATAACCAATATTTTTGAAGTACATGCAAATATTTAGACTCAAATTAATACGTTTCGTTGAATTAAATGTAAAAACATATATCGTATATATATATATGTGTGCGTGCGTGTGTGTGTGTGTGTGTAAAGGGTGTATATATACTTCAAAAGTTAGTAAGTCTTTTTTTTTTTTTATTTTTTTGAAGTGAAAAAACTTAGTAGATGAGATAAATAGTGGAGTAGCCTCGTTTGGCCACCTTATTAAGCAAACCCTTGTAGTTTTGTTAATTAAAACTTTATTATAATTAGACAAAATGTTTATTATAAGAGGATAATTAAATGTATAAACGTGCAAGTTACCGTCACCGCCCACCAATGGATCCAATTTACAGACAGCTGGGTCTCGATTATATGTATATGTATGTATATGTATGTATGTATGTATAACGTATATATACGTATATGCATGTGGGTATTTGGTATTTTTTATTTATAAAAAAACCCTTTTTATTTTCTATTTGTTGAAGAGCACATAAATCCTCTCATTTTTTTTTTATTATTTATATTGTGTTTTATTATTTTCCATATACAGTATTATATACATTTAACATTTTTTTTTTGGAATATTATGAATTTTTATCAATTAAATAATTAGAGTAATATTCTTTTCCTATTTAGGAAAAAAAATTATGAGAACATGTTTAGTTTAATTTTTTTTTAAAAAAATGAAAAATGAAAATGGAAAACATTTTACCAAACATATAATTAAGCGTGTGTGTGTGTGTATATATATATATATATATAGAGAGAGAGAGAGAGTCTATATATAGATTAAATATTTTATAACCCAGATTCCCTTTGGTTTAACCTAGTTAAGAAGGATTAATGAAACCATGTAAAAGTCTACCAAGTTGTTGTAAAATTACCTTATAAACGTATCCCATGTGCCGTGCAATCTACAGTAACTTGACATTAAATCAAATTATTTATCAAAGTAAATCGTAATTTAATCAATAATTAATTAAAATAATTTTACTCTTAATTTTAATTAAAATATTTAAATTTTTATGAATTATAATTATAGTTACAGTAAGATATAAACCAAGCGAGGAATCATTAGCTTTTCCTTCATAACTACATACCTCCATTTCCGATCACTTCTACTTCTCCCATCATCTCCGTTACTCTTTTCTCTCAACAATGGAGGCGCGTGAGATGAAGATACTCACTGCTCCGTCGCACGTCAGTTCACTTCCGAACTCTCTCCCTCTCTGCTCCACTCCACCACCATCTTCTCAACTCATCATAAACAAGCAGCCGTGCAGCCACGAATTCAGTCTCGATCATTCCAACACCTCCGCAGCTTTCTTCAACAGATTCTTGTCTCCTCTCCAGATATTCTCCCCCAACACGACGTCGTCTCTGAGCGGGGACTCGGCTTTAATCGACGGGAACAAGGAGCAACCCGCGAACATTATCGACGAGAGGCGGATCAGACGAATGGCGTCGAATCGGGAATCTGCTCGGAGATCGAGGATGAGGAAGAAGAGGCAGATTGAGGAGTTGCAGAGTCAGGTTGATCAGCTGTTGACGATGAATCACCAGCTGTCGGAGAAGGTGATTCGATTGCTGGAGAGTAATCATCAGGTGATGCAAGAGAACGGACAGCTGAAGGAGAAGGTTTCTTCGCTTCAACTGGTTCTGTCTGACATTTTAACACCTCTGAGAAGTAATGTCGAGCAGGAGATGAGCCGCGGGGTGAATCATATCAGAGGAGTTGAAGCTTCGAACCAGTCGGCTATTATGGATTTGGTGAGTAGAAAAGGTGCCTAGCTAGCTAGATTCAAAAGAGATCATATACACATATATACATATATATATATATATATTTTTATAGTAATCTAAAAAGAATTATATAGGTTAATTGCTGTTCTTAATAATTATTATCAAGGCTTTGTTAATCTTATGTGATTAAAACTAATATTACATATAATCTCCACGGATCATTAATATTAGAATTTGCAAAGGACACCTTTCACCAATACACGCATATAAATGTGTATATATGTATAAATTCAATTTTCCCGAGAAAATTCGACCTGATGAATTAAACTAACTTGATTCATCTCCATCTTCCTCCCTCAAATTAGGCTCAGGTAGGTCACATTTAATACAAAAATTGTTAAATTGATTAATTGTGTATTATAATTTTTAAATATTTTAAAATTATTGTTGGTCTTGAACATTTTAAATTCATTTTAAACGTTTTGATTAATCTGAAATAGACATTAATAGGAACGAGAAAATCATTTTTAATTTAAATCACTAATCTGAAATGACCCACTAAGAAAATATTTATAAGCAGCAAATTGATCTTAAAACAAAAAAAAAAAAAAAAAAAAAACCCTCTGAATTACTGTAATAGATTAAAGAATTACCATGAGCAATGAGACACATGATAGTAATTCACTACTTGTAAACAGCAAATCAGTAATATCACACACACACACACTCTAAATTACTATAAAAGATCAAAGAATTAGTAAGGAGCAATAACACAGAATCGTACAATATAAGCAACTTGTATGAATCTGTATGTGTTTTTATACTTACCCCACTTGAAATCTTTTGCTATTTATTCCAGCTTTCAGTTTTGGAACTTCTATTTCAATACATAAGTGGGGTAAGTGAAAATGCATGTAGTTCATCCATTTTGTAAGTTAAAAGATTTGGAATATTAAAGCAATCTTCATCTGAATTCAGTAAATTATACAGATTCAGGTGATTGCTCAGACAAATAGCAAGAAAGCTATTCATGTGTCTGACACGGGTGACTAATGATCCTTGTTAGCACACAGTATCTTCACATCCATAGAGGCTTACCACAGGATGAGAAATTAGGGTTTAGGTTGATATATCCTACTTTATAAATATATTTACATGACAGCAATAGACGGGAGAGCATGTGAATGAGTTTCAGCCATTCTTCTTCGTTACATGCTTCCTGTTCGCGATATTACTCGGGGTGTCCGCTGCAGAAGTTGAACCATTGGTGCTTTGGTCCTCAAAGCTCTGGGCAGGATCTGCAAATGATCGAGTGGCAGGCCACCTAGAGACATTTGGAAGCACGGGTTAACTAATGAATCAGCATAAAGAAATTACGATTAATATGCACATGTTCGAAATTTATACTACCTGCTAGACATTATGGTTTCATTGTCTATTATTGTTTTATCCTCAAATATGTTCCCTGAAAAAAAAAAAAAAAGAAAAAAGAACAAGTTCAATGAATATGTCAATTGGAAGAACGTATGGGATAGTCATCGCAAGAATGAAACGAGAGTAACTATTACCTCCGTAAATATTCTTCTTAGAAAAGTACTTTGCCATCAA